GGATTGCGGGAGGTTTCTTAATGTGGCACTGTTTGTGACCCACCTGCAGTTTATCGTTTAGTAAAGCACTAAAAAAGCGCATTACTTACGATACAATTAATTAAGTAGGGTCTTGAAATCTAGCACAAGTTGGGTATGTTAGGAAAGTCGTGAAGCAATACGTCTAATTGCTGATTTAAAACGTTTTCTGTGAAATCACGTTATAAATGGCGTTATAAATGTGAACTGGTATAAGTAAATAAAAATACATTTTATATTCAGCATAAATGAAACATTCTTAATAAGGAAACATTAAGTTGTCAGTACACTATACCTACACACACACACACACACACACACACACACACACACACACACACACACACACACACTAACACACTAACACACTCCACTCGCTGAGAAAAGTATTGGATACGCGTCTGTGCAGCGCTGGGCAAAATATTTTAAATTTAGTATTAAATATTTCGCCAAAATGCATTAGGTTTTGATTAGCTAAATACATACATATTTAAAATCCTTGAAATACTCAAAATACAGTAAATACAATTATATTGTACCTTTTCTATTGCAACAATATATTGTAATTGCCAATTATAATAATTTGGTAATTGACAGTCATACAAATTTCGGAAAAATTACTAACTATAATAAATATGTGTTCTAAATGTAATTAAACCAAAGAGATCAGCGAAAGTAAATCAAAAATGAGAATTATTCAGGTTAATTGTTTCACAAACTTTGGAATGAAAGCAAAAACAAAAATTGTGTATTATATTTTTATTGAAGTATCTAAGTATTTGTTTTTTAAATACACCTATTTTACGTATTTAAATATTTGTCCAAAATACATGTCCCAAAACTTCAAACACACAGTTTTTCAAATACAAGTGTTTAAATACTGCCCACCCTGCCTCTGTGTACAGGAATTAATGTGCTTTGTAGACCTTTGGCCCGGCTTGTGGGCTTATTCCCCACCGTGCGTCGCGTCGCGCCGCGCAGCGCCGGCCATCGTCTCACCGCGCCGCGCCGCGCCGCGCCAGGGACGCCCCGCGAGGTGGCGGCGTGGGCTTTGCACGCATGTGTTGCATGACGCAGCGCCGCGGCGCGCGAACGCGCTCTCGCTCGCTCGCTCGCTGACGCGCGTCGCGTGACGCGTCGATTCGCCGCGTGCCCGCCCGGAGGGGTACAACGCCGCTTCTGTTCCTCGCGGCGACAGTCGGGTGGGGGAAGTTCCCCTCTCGGGTGACCAATGCGTAGTTGCTTCCGATGTTATCTGGGCTGGTGTAGGGTAGGGCAGGGTTGGCGCAGGGATTTGGAGTGGAAGCGGAGAGGGTGTGCATCTGGCGTTACCTGGAGTGGCGGTTGTAGTTATTCGATGTGTTGGGAATAACCATAACCAGCAGAAAAATGTGTTTAAAATATCATCTAATAAATGCGTGTCTGAAAATAACATATAACAAATAATTTTCGTGTTTTACTCCAATGACAGAAAGAAAACACAATATGTACTCTAATTCGAAATCGGGAGCACCCGCAATGAACTACTTAATACCTCGATTAACTGAATTGAATGCACGTAATGGTCATGCGTAAATTCTTCAAATTGTTAATGTATTAATTCCCATGTTGAATTGAGGGTTACTTAAAAGTATATACCATGTATGAAACCCACAACGCACATTGTTCGCTCGATGAAATTAATTTCATTCGCCCTCTTGCCTTCAATGAGGAGCGGAGGGGGAAGCGAAGGTCCCCCTGTATCAGAAGAGGGAAGCACTGGTGTCATAATGTATATTAGAACCCAGACATTTATGCGTGCTCAAAAGGACATTCTTGACAACTCGATATTTTGTAGAATGCGTTAGTGACACGTGCATATAATTGAATTGAATGAACGATTTAAGAGCAGATTTCGTTTAATCGAACTACATTGGACCGCGTATTCTGCGAGATTGCTGCATTTATACGTTTTGAGAGGAGAGCTAACAGTAAGACAACTTGGTAGACTAGATTTTATGAAACATGCAATAAACAGCTGATGTATTAATAATGTGTCTCAGTAGGTATGATATAGACTATGTATGTCAGCAATAATAATGTCTTGCTGCGATTCTGGTATCAAACCATGTCAGAATAACTTGCAAAATCATGAACGGACAGTTGCGAGATATACTTGCAGACTTTCTGAACCACTTCATATTTCACGAATGCAGGTTGAATCTATTGAGATTGCTGCCTTTACTGACCCGAGTTTTGCATTAGATTTGTCTCTATTTTTGAAATTTGGCTAAAATAAGTGGTTCTTCTGATTAACATTTTAATGATAATTTAGCGAAAAAAAACTTGGAAAAGAGAAAAAGGGAATAATATTTAAAAGCTTGTACGAATTGAACAGAGAAGTATCTTCAGAAAGGGAAAGAAACTGCGATGTGATTATCGTCAGTTTGTCGGATTCAGAATCTGATTCGCTTGTAAATGTCTGAGAGCTAATGGGTATTGAGCCAAGTACAACCAAGGATCGTTTTTATCTATCTATTAGAGTGTCAAACTTTCAGTAGCTTGCAGATGGTGGGCATTCTTGCACCTGCAGTTTTCTGAGCGTAGATTGAACAGAACAGAATCTGAGTGGAGCGCCACTTTCCCCTGTACGGTAGGAGTTTCTTGGAAATGGTATCGGCCATTTTCATACTTCCGCAGAGTGAGGTATGAGCAGTCGCAAGCTTTTTTCTTTTTTCGTGGGCAACCGCAAAGAAAGGAATGTTAGGGTACTGACGTTTGTCTAGGCAAGTAGCAACTCAAGTGGCTCTAAATATATTTCGGTCGTCATAGCATAGTATTCTCGTAATTTCATCGTGATTTCGCTCTTGGTTCTACGTTACTTAAATTGACATTTAGGACTAAAACATTATAACGATGTAAGTTCAGTATACACTAAATTACGACATCTTCAGTGTTTGTAAGGAACTGCCACACGACACTAAAATTTTCAAGAATGTTCATGTTAACCTATTGCCAGACATAACTAGTTGCGCTAAATTAGTACATGCTTTCTCGAATTATTTGTAATTGTTAGGTAATGTTATAATAGTAATCGAACCCGCAAAATGTTTCCAAACCTCCAAAAAACATATTTGCCCGCGCTAGAATTCAAACACGGGCGGCATTCCAATGGCCCTCCCGTCGCATCAAAAAGAAGCTGCAATTTTGTAATTTTAGACATTTCAGGAGCTGTAATGAAAATCGGACATGATACATTGCTATATTCGAGAGAAAAAAATTAGGAAAAACTTGGAACACTTTTTAAGAAAACCTTGGCTACACATTAAAAATATCAATTTATATTTATAAAACAAATGTAAATGATATTTAAGTACCTAATATTGAACATATTTCATTTGAAATCTATCTTCAATAATATTGTAAAAAGAGGGTTCAAAGAATGTTGACTTTTGCAATTTTAGAAAATTCAGAGGTTTTACTGGAAATGTCCATTTTTATAAGCGTACTTTGCATTATCCAAATATTTGTCAATGTGTCACCATCAAAGCTTAAAAATCACTTTTACCAAATCTGCGTTGAGAAACGAAAGTTAGTATCGACTGTTGAAACTACAGGAAAAAAGTTCTTCAGTTTAAGAGGGGAAAATGTTTCTTCATAAAAGAATGCGTTTGACGCTTGCGGTCGCTCATGTTTGTTTTGAGTGCTTCTAAAGCACGATAAGGAAAGTGTTCAGTTTGCTTACAGCACTAATGAATGCTATGTTAGTAAACGAATGATTGAAGGAGAAGTCATCAATTATCAAAATGATTTTGTAAAAGAAAATATAAAGAATACTTCTTAAGGCAGTATCTTCTTCTGTAACAAGTCAATTGCATTACTGATTTGTTGCAAACTTACTTTTTCATTCTCTTCAGCGAATATTATGTTGTTCAAGAAATGAAACATTGTAATTCACGAAGTGTTATGTCTACGTGATCGTAGCAGGACTTAATCTTATGTCATTGATTCCAAAAGCCTTTATAAAAAAAAGTCTTAACATTTCGCTTTCATGTCTAATATTATATTGGTATCAAGCTCCCAAATAAGAAATTAGAGGACAAAGTTTAATCAAACCATTTGAAGCCACAATTGAGAAAATTTTGAATTATTTTAGGATTTATGTAAAATACTCCCGAAAATAAAAATATCTGCTTTAAACACCGCCTTAGCTGAGACAAGCTCTGAAGTTCCCGACCGGTCTTCTGACATGTGCGATAGTGTAGATCCGCGCGATCCGTGGCCCGTTTGGTAGGGCACTGCTTCGGCATTCACCTGGTGTTGATCGGAGAAACCACGGAAAACTACCAACCAGAGCAGCCGGCCGCTACAATTATCGTCCAGACAGCGACCGAACTCGACCTAGCTATCACCAAAATCATGCCACCATCGCGACTCGAACCTAGGACCTCCCGGTCAGAGTCACGGCAGTGATATCAGTTGATGCCCAGGGCCATCTCTCTCGGTGGATGGTTTATCATTTTCTGCGGTCACAGAGACTATATTACGATGGTTAAGAGTTAATGCAGAACACATTTTAAAAAATGTTTTAGTTTGCTTCGAATTTCCATTACTCACGAGGATTAGGTGATGTTGCTCTGGCAGGTACTTCAAATGAAAAGTGTTTTTTAAAATATGAGAAATGCAAAATAATCTGCATGTTCTAAGAGCATATGTTGAGAAATTTCATGAATTTCTGTAGACGAGTGTAGATAAGGGAGTGCCCATTGACTAACCATTTTCATAAAATATCCTAAATCACTTCCAGAATAAACCTAATGATACTTTTATGAATATATTTTCGGATCCATCGTCCGTGCTCAGCGAATGATTATCTTTAATGCAAGATCCCTAATTTACATTCATTTTGCAAGGGCGTCATAAAGACGGCGGAGTCTCATTACAGACAAGTTTCATATAATGCTTTTCTCTGCGTATGAAGTGGGTAAACGTCGTGAAGTCCTATGCGGTCTCCTCAACGACAGTGCGGGAAAAAAAGAATGGAAGAAGGAAAGGCGATGGGTGTTTCTGGGGGCTGCGAGGAATGTGTCTGGGAGGAATGCGGCACGGCGCTCACGGCCCGTGTGCTCTACAGTGGAAAGATGCGAAGTTCCCGTTACGCCGGGCGACCTCACTTGATCTGGAACCGCGCACAATCGAGCTCCTGCGCACAGGCCACGCCCGGGGGCTCCGAGCGCCACCGCGCGCCGCCGGCCGCCGGCACACGCCACGCTAAGGGTTAAAAGCCGGTCTCTGACCAATAATGTGCTGCCAGTTTCTTTTTTAATCGGTTATTTATGTTATGAGCCAGTTGTGAAACTACATGACGCGCAAAATAGTCGTATTCAAGTTTTTTCACGACGAAAATGTGTTAAAATTTCACGGGAAATTCTTATTAAATGATGAGTCGTTACTTGTGGCGCAAAGTCTGTACCAATTGCTGCCAGCCAATTTTAAAATATATTTCTCTATTGTTTTCGTCAATTTTCGCCAATCTGTATGTGACGTATGGTGGAGAAGTATACTCTGTGCATGTTTTGTTCACCTCCATAAATAATATTAAGTTATTACAGTTGCCTATGTCATTATTTATTATTATTTCAATATTGTGTAGGGATTTGCCCAAAAATGCACTAAACCAATCAAATTTTATAGTTGTAACAATAGTATGAGACAAAATATGTGGTATTCAGAGGTAGTTTGCTTCAGTCAAGGCTCTTCCGTAAAAATATTCCGTCAATGTATAACCTACAACCTAACCTAATGTAATATCACCGTAGTATTAATAGACTGCGTGTTTTCAAGTGCTATAACGTGTTTTACAGCCTTAAAACGTGCACAAAAAACATTAAACAGGAAAGGCAATAACTCAAGATTGAAGGAAAAAAAGCAGTACGTAATGTATTTTACTGCACTTGCATCTGAACTTACCAGAACCATCAAAATCAACTATAACATGAGAAAAATAATGAATTTATAATCTTGTGAACCAAATTATAGGTTGACAAAAAACAATATTATAGTAATTATTTTGAATGAAATTCCTTTCAAAACAGATTTTTAATTTTGTAGGCATTTATTTCATAACAATGATAGTTTTATCAAATCGTTTTTAATGTAAAAATTTAAACAATATAAAATATATAATGACAAGTCATCACCATGTTGTGCATAAGCATTCATTTCGAAAATTGCAAAGTTAAAATTTCTTTGATCCATTAACTACAGAGATATCTTTAATTTTGTTCTAAATTAAATATGTTCTACGAAATTGTACCTTTAATTAATGTAGTGTATATTTCTTCAGAATACGAGACGTTTTCCCATAATTTTGGGTGAAATCGTGACAATTTTATAAATTACCGAAACAGATTTTCCTAAAAACAGACGCCAGAAATTTTTTTTTCACTTTTTGCTCGAATAGAGCAACGCTCGCTTAATAATATGGCATAGATTCGACTTTCATTGAAACTTCTGAAATTTTGAAACTTGCAAAAGTTTAACAGTTTTAATGCGTTGGGAAAGCTGGTTTTCTTAAACCAGTGCTCGTGGTGTAATGGAGAAATGTGATCGTGGGTCCTTTGCCCACAATTCAAAATCCACTCTGGAAAAATATTTTTGAATTACTCAAACGCGGTTTCAACTAGTATTTTTTATTACAAATATGCAGGCTGAGGTGAAAACAGGCTGAGGGCATAATCTGATGTTATTGCAGTGCCGCTGACCGGGAGGTCCTAGGGTTCGAGTTCCGACGTTACCAGGATTTTCCACACAAGCTTTACAGCTCTGTCGAATTCAACAGCTGGTTGGAGGAGAACTCTTGCGCCCGGCTGGTAGTAGGTAGCTTTTCTTGGTTTCTCCTATACCAGGCGAATGCCGGAGCAGTACCCTAACAAACGGCCACGGACCACCCGCGATCTTTCCTTCCTCTTCCTTGTTCTATCCTCACCCATTACATAAACTCTCACATGCACTACACTATCATATATGTCGAGAGACCTGTCGAAAGATTAAAGCTTCTCCGGGCCAGGGCGCAGCCCCGCTGCTGGGAGATACATGGATGGGGAAACCCCCACATGTCAACGTGTAGATCGGCGCCTTGTCTTGCTATTCAGCGGGGGGAAAACACCCCCTCATCTTGTGGAAAGACATTCACTACACTTGCGGGATAGGTGAACATAACAGTTGCCGCACCTGGAAACAAAATAATCAATCAATATGCGATACTGTGTGCTGTATAGCCCTACTAGTTTTCATCGAATATGTAGTTCTTTTATTAATTTTTATTCCTATGAAAGCGATTGAACCATGACCATGTCTTTGCTACTCGACAATTCCTTGTAAGACTACAGAAATTACAGGTTTACAGGGTAAACTTTTACAGAAATTAACTTTTATACTCTGAAGAAGTAAGGAGAGTGGATTCGCATTCTCGCGTAATGTAGTTTTTGTTTTACTCTGGCAAATCAAACTCATTTTTAGTCATCGAAAATATTTTGACATTTCTTTTAGCGTCTTTCGTCTTTCATCTTTTTTCTTTAGCGTCTTTCGATGAATTGTTTTGAAAAAAATTCGCTCCCTGAGTTTACGTAGCTGATTTAACGACTCTTGTGTGATGACAAGCACATAACGTTGAAAGTTAAGTTAATGAGTTATATGTTAGTTGCGCTATTTGAATAAATGTTAGACCAAGGTATTTATTAGCATCCACATTCTGTTTAGGACATTTTGGCAATGTAACCAGGTTTATTCTAGAAACTCAATCCCGTTATTTAACTGACAATCTGAATACAAATATGAAATAATACATAAAATACCTAATGAGAAACTTACTATTGAAACTATTGAAATACTAATACTCAAAAAACAATTAAAACTATTGAAAATATTTGCAAATTTGTGCAGTTTAGATTAATTGCTTAGTTTTTTTCTTTGTACAAGAAATAATAATTTATATATTCAAAAATCGTCACGCTTATGTTTCTTACATCTGTGGTGAACAACTTTAAAATATTGAATAAGAAACAAAACATTTTCTGAACGAAAACGTGGAAATGTGTAGGTAATGTGAAACGAAGGACAAGGGGTAGCCTTCTCGTGACCCCGTTTCGATCGCCACAATTATACAATAAGTAAGGCTAATTCGATCCCCTGTATTCGTGACACGCGAATCAGAGTGTCCTGATTACAATAGCTGCTTCTGTATACTTCTGATTAATTTTTTTTTCTTTTGTCTCTATTGGCCGGATCATGCCGCACATCCGTTGCCTTGACTCGCGCCTGACAAGGAAGCCACAAAGACGATAATGAAACACTGAAGCTGAGAGATCACTCTGTAAGGCAGTAGACATTTTCTTTGCATCCTAAGAACCGTGCGTCATTTCTTCGTAGTGACCTCCTGCCGAACAGGCGGGGCATTTATCTCCTGCATGCGTTCCTCTGTTTGCTCTAATATTCAGATCAAGCTGCAGATCAGGTTGCTTGGAAATGCAGTGCTACATTCTGTGAGTCATGAATTTCGTCAATGCTTCGGAAGTGAGCACAGCACAACCTTGGTCATATTTCGATTGATGAGGACTTTATTCATTAGATATTTCTCATCCGGCATATTCGAATTGATTATACGTCCTTCATCATCGAGATGAAAATAATTTATCCTTTTCCGTAACAACGTATTTGATTTTTGCAGAAATGTAATTTTGTGCCTTGCGATTTAATAACTTAGGAAGGACTATCCGAGTGTATAGTCTTCATAGATTCGTTTAAAATATCGAAATGTATGGAAAATATGTTGTTGAAAAAGAAAGCAGGCGTTTATCTTATAACAGAAAAACAGATCAAAAAGAAAGGAAAAGAAGTTTTGTGCTCGCCTTCGACAGAAAGGTATCTCTGTCGCAGACTACCGCGTGAAAGGATGAGGAAAAATTGGCTTAAGACCACTATGACAGCCAGGTAGAACATAACGGTACCTAAGGAAACGAATTGCTAACACAAAATGGGCAAAAAATTCTTTTTTTAGTAGTGATAATCAACATGTTTTTCTAGGAGAATCTTTGTGTTTTTGAATTTCAAGCATTATAATTTTTACTTTTATATAACAAATCTTACGATCTGAAAAGTTATCTTACGGAATGATATGTGAAGGTTTAAAATATGTTTGTTTTTTTAGGTTTTCAACTAAACTATAATTGTCAGAAATTGTAGTGTCTTAAGAAGGCGACGAGAAACTAATATTGTAGTTCATATTGAATTTCATTTTTCATATATTCCATTTGTAATTTGCGTGCGTTATTATGCATCTTTATTGCATATATGTTTTTAGTTTCACAAATCATCTATTCTTATATGAATTATAAAATTCTGTACTGTCATGTAATGATATTTTTAAAAAATATTGAATTTTGCACGTTGAATTCACAATGAATACTTTTTCAATGTGAATATTGAAAAGGATTGCTAAGAGTTTTTATTTATTTACGATATTAGTATTACTATTATTAATATTTTATATTTATATCAACCACGTAACATTTGTAACAACTTACTTACTACATATCACTAAAAAGACGAACATTCGCGATCGAGATGTTTCGAGGGAGCATGCGAGAGTTCATTGGCTAGAGGATTAAATCTGTAACTGCGTTAGAATACTGGTCCTCACGAATCGCTTTCCAGGGAGTCGAATCGTGTCTCCTACAATCTCTCGGCGCCCACTTCGCCCTCGCATCCGCGCGATTCGCCCCACTGCGCGCCTCTTAGGGCCACCACCGCCGCGCAGCGCCGTTGCGGCACAGGGCTTCCACACGCCCCGCCCCGCCCCCGCCCGCCCCGCGCCCCACCGCCCCCGCCCCGGAACCCGCCCGCCCGCCCTCACGCTCCGTCCGGCCCCGCCGCCCCGCTCCGCTCACCACGGCATCCACGCCCAAAAAAAAAAAAACAAAAAAAAAAAACCCAACAAGAAAAAAAAAAAACAAAACGCCCGCGTCTTCCGACCGCCCCGCAGCCCGCTTTGCGCGCGCGCCGGAACTTCTTTCTCCGAATTTAAGATTTGTTTTTGACATCAGGCGCTCCTGTATGCGACGCTGGAAGTGGACTCGGATGTCACTGCCAGGCGCGACCGCGGACGTCGCACCTCTACCCGCGTTTTGAAATACGGCTGGGATTTAGCTGCGCCTTGGCAGCGGGGCAGCAAAGACAGTGCCAGCGAAGACAGCAGATTTGCAAGAAATTGGTAACACATTCATACCAAACGTAAACTCATTAAAAAAAATCATTACTTGCCGGAGTGAGTTATATTCAAAGCGAGTTGGTTGAATAGACTACAACATTCGAAAATGCGATAATGTATTTTTGATTGTTGCTTTATTGGTTTTCCTATATGACGTGGTAGAAAACGGTCTCTTCGGTATGAAATAAAAAATAGTTTTGATTTTTTAATTTTCTTTTTCGTTTTTCAAACTCTCCTCTGAATTTGTATTTCGCGAATTATTTGTAGTATGAAAGGCTTCACATTTACGGCGTAGTCCGTAAAAGCAATCAAGTAATGCCAACACAATACACAATACTAAATGAAACCAGGCATTAGTAACGCTGGGAATTGAAACGGTCTGTTGGACGTATTGCGACTGCGCCTCCAGTGGATCTTCCTTCTTGTTTCACTTCACGATCTTTCTGATGGCGATACGGGGGTTGCTTCGTTATAGGAAAAAAAGCAAATTAAATAAATTTGAATCGGAGATGGGTGGGGATGATATTGTATGCACCTGAACGACGAAGTGACATTTTCGAGTTCGGGATATTATGAAACTGGGTTCTGTTACGTTCCGCCTCCACCGCTGAACCACCTCTTATGAGAGAGTTTATGGACTGGGTTTTCCGTCTTTCGTGTGAGCGACAATACGAAAAACATTAGTACCCATTCAAATGCGGTAACTAACATTATACGCAACGCTCTGGTTCCTAATATTCCTTTCTTTGTTTCATATTCGGGGAATCCTGTTTTTAGGTTTCCTCTGCCCTTCTAAAAAGTACAACATTGTAAGTATTGTCACTTGAGGCCGCCATTCAAATGTTGTGCCTCATTTCTGTGCAGAGATCGGAGTAAAGCGGAAAGGGAGCTCCAAGGCTGCAAGCTAGTGGAAGAATCTGAAGACTCCATGGATGCTCGAAATCCGGACGTGGTAGCTGAGGAGTGGAAAAGTTGGTGCTGCGGTAACCAAGCAGTACATCCAGTGAATCGATCCGCGTATTTTAGATGAGTAAAAGTTTTTACAGTGTTTTCCATTTTATTTCTAGCCTTAGCGCAGTACTCTGTTGTACTAATATTATTTTGCGTCTCTTGATTTATTCAAAATATAGCTTTATTTGGCATTATTATTATTATTGTTGTTGTTGTTGTTTCGTTGTTACCGTTTTCAACCGAAGCTAGTTAACTTTTTCATTCATAATGGGCGATTCCGCGACTATACAAATAACACTTCCGGATTCTCGAAATTAGGGTTAGATGAGTAGAGGTAGAGAGTAGAACGGAGGGATTGTCACGCTACCACAATCGTAAATCTATTTTTAGTCCGGGATTCGACCCGCGGTCCTTCAAATTGTGGAGTTTGATCAGGAGGTTAGCGCTTAGCCACCTTCTTAACCAGCTAATTATTATTTTTTAATTAAGATTTGCGAGTAAATAGAGTTCCAAAATCTCTCAGAGGACATGTAGAAGGAGCTCACGTTCTATAATAATTCAGATAGTCCATGATGATTGCAACTAAAAGAGTACATTTCTTTTTAAGTAGTGTTTTACATTGAAGTATACTACTATTTTCGATAGTGTATATGCTTTGATCCAGTCATGTAGCTTTCCTAAGACCCTCGTATTAAACAGGCTGATTTTTTGCGGACACTCGTTTGTGAATAAATACGAGTATAAATGGTTTACAAGCCAATATTCGATATTTTGTCTTAAATGTACCTTAATAGCACGCATGTGCTCTAAGGATCGCGAATGAATCTCGTTGTAGGAGAACGAGGTATTGAAAAGTTATGTGCAGAGAAAATATATCATAGATCCGATTCCATAAATTTGACATATTGAGATGCGTTTTGAGGACTCGGTTATGGAAGGCGAGTAATCGTATCACTTATAACTGAGCTACGAACCCTCATCTGTCGGATAGAATTACAATAGCGGTGCGATTATTCTATCTGTTGGGTGTAGTTTTTTCTCTTGCACGCCTTGCATACCTAATCATTTTTCAGCACCTCCACCTTTTCAAAAAGTAGCTACGTCACCATGATTAGAGTTTCCCTAATAGAAAACGAGTTTATAGAAAAGGAAAGTCATTATAAGGGGGAGATATCCATTGCCATCTTAGTGGATCGTTAATAAGGTGTCCGTCGGGTGGGTACTCCGCCCACAAAGGCTAACCATTTCTTCTTGTCATATAGTGTTTAATTCATTGTTTACTTTTCCTTGTTTAACATTCACTGTTTAATTTTGACAGTTCTGTAGATGTAGGGAAATGGCATGATTAGTTGTATTGTCCCAATTGCGTACAATTAATATCTGATGTAAATGATTTTGTGTGTTACTTCTGATTTATTTTTATGCATTATTTGCATACAATTTATGCATTTATTGCATTTTTATGCATGTATATGCACGTCCAGTGATGCTTTTTCCGTTCCGTTTCTGATTTAATTTGATTTGGCACCATAATCAAATTATTATCATGATTTTCGAAGATCCTTGAATCCTTGTAATGCGGGGCCGTGATAGGTTCTCAATATATATTCAAATCATTATAATGAGTATTACATTGCATACTTCTTGACATCAATTATCTCTAAGTCGTATTGAACGCGACTATTGTGTAGTTCGGAAAATGGAAGTGATATTAAGCAAGAAAGATGAAAAATTGTCAGTCAGAAGGATTTATGTTAAGAATTTCTTGCCTTCTTCGATTGTTTTGCAATTCACAATTTAAAATGAAATATGTTGTATCTGAATTATAAAAATAGATATCTTGCCTACTAACTTTGGGACACTAACAAAATGATGTGTCAATTATTCCAAACAATGGGGAAAATCAGATTAGGAAATGTAGATCGTACTTCTACTATTTAAAGATTTACAAATAATATTCGAATGAAATGATTCAGGTCACAGTCACTCGGATTTGTAACGTCATAGAAACACTTGAAAAAATCTTTTTATATTGAAAACGTCCATCAAATAACTTGGAAAGTGAATTTGATACTATAGTCTTTCCTTGCGCGTGGCAGTTTCATGTTCTTAGAAATGTACTACATTACTGTGTGCTCTGTTATCCTTCCGGCCAGCCAGCGGCACGTGGAGGTTCCGGGCGGGCGCTCATCTGAGAAAATGACCGGACGCTGCGCCGCTTAACTTGGCTGACCTGGCAGAGGGCGGCGGCGCGGCGGCTCTCTCCGTCGTGTCGCTGTCGGGTGTGTTTTACGAAAGAAATGAAACCGATTTCGAAAGATGTCAACCGATTGAAAATGATGAAACAAAGAAAAATATATGAACGTACCGAATAGAGAAAGTGAGTCTTTGCGCATGAATGAAATACTGACGGATGAGGCGACGATATGAGCAGTCTGACATTCTGAAATAAGTGCGCCAAATACACTTTCATACGAGTTACGTGTAGTTCTTTTAGTATGATTGATGATTCTGGGCGTGTTGCTAAGGTATTTTGTCCCGTAAGTGTAGTGATTGTTTTATTGCGGGAGATAACAGATCTTTCTCCGTTGGATGGCGAGATCCGGCGCTTGCGGGGCTTTCCCCAAGCAAGTATCTCTCACTAGTATGGCACCGCACCAGCCGAGACAAGCTCTAAACTCCCGACAAGAATGGGAATTGTGTATATGAGTGTATGTGTGTGTAAGTAAGTGGTGAATATATGATAAGGAAAAGGAAGGAAAGATAGCGCGCGGTCCGTGGCTCGTTTGTTGGGATGCTACTCCGCCATTCGCCTGGTGTATTTCGGAGAAACTACGGAAAACTACCGATCAGAGCATCCGGCCGCTAGAATTGAAGGGATCAGTAGAATAATCCCATGTAGACGAGATAATGAGGGTTTTACCTGAACTTCCCTCGTATATCTCAATTCATTTTAAAACTTTTAAACACAGTACACATGCATATAAGTCCATACTGGATTTAAATAACATATTACACTAAAAGAACATATTTGAAGTTTTGTATAATGCTAATAACTCAATTTCACAAAACAAAGTGAGATAACCCCCTTGTTCTACTAAGCCCTTCAATTCTCCTCGTAACAGCGGCTGGAACAACTAGCTAGAATGAAAACATTTTGCCACTGTCGGGGCTCGAACCCTAAAACCTCCCGGTCAGAGGAGCTGCGGTGACATCGGGTTATTGCCGTAAGCCACCCTTGCCGTTTTTTAGTATGAATTCATGGAAACTTACAGGTATATACTCATGGGATCATTCTCAATATGGGAGGCAACAGTCATGTTCATTCAAGTGTCGCCAGTTGTTTGCTTTGCAATACCCAGTTGTTTTATATGACAATGACTTCTTTGCAGTACGCGTACGTTAAAGTTTGTTTTGCCTTCTTTGCTGTACGCGTACTACGAAGTGAAACTTTCCAGTCAATAAATAATGAAGGTAAGGACTAGTTTCCGTGCAGACAAATGTCGTTTTCAGCACTAATGCATGAAATGTGTTACTTTGCGAAACGCATATGGCAAACTAGATTTTGCAGTACGTGTACTGTAAAGAAGGCATCACATAAAACAATTGTGTACTGCAAATTAAACAAAACACATGATCGACATGAGTGAACATGGCTGCCCTCTTGCATATTGAAAATGATTCCTAAATCGAATGTGAAATGTCAACATTTCGTTGACGTGCGTACACAAAATTTCACGAGGCACTGCTCCTCTTCATGATGTACTATGTTGGCATTCAATTATTGACTTCTCTTGGAGTTAGTATTGTTGTTAATTATTGTTGGAAAGAAAGTTTACCATGCTAGTGACTATATATTAAACTAAATTCATGTTACAAAATCTGAATCAAGGGCCGACACTGGTGGCGCAGAAATCTTCTGTTACTGTTTATGAAATTAACGTAAATGTTGACCTAGAGTGTAACACAAGAAAGATAAAGAATGGGATATATTAATCTGAAACTGTATATTATTTTAAAACTCCTGTTTATTCTCTCATTTTTCATTTGTTCGCTCTCTGCACTGCCCTTGGTATGCCGAAAGAATTTTTCTTTATGAAAGTCAGCAGTGAAGGACGATATTTGACTATTTCTGCTACGAGAAGCAAAATTAATGTTTTTTGAATCCAACCGTTACTATAAAACGTCTGATTACTATTTACTAATGATTTATTAAAATGTATTTATTATCAAAATATTTGTAACGAGATTTTTCCATACCTTTCTGACTAGTAAATTGCACTAATGTACGTTAAATGGTAATCAATGGGAATCTCAAAACCGAATACTTTCAATAAGTGAAGATCTCTGTCAGGTGTGTCAAATAGAATCGAAAAACATCAGTTGGCTTGAAATTATTGGATCGGAGCTTTTCTATTTTGTAAGTTGAGCTTGTTAAATTTGTGGGCAATTTAAGAATTTTAATATTGTTATAAAATTGAGTTACTTAGTTTGAAATCCGTTTGAATTATAAATTATGAATTTCTATGTCAATTTTCCTGTATTGTGAGTTACTATATAGTGTTCCGAAAACAGAAACACGGACACACCATTGTCATTGAGATATAAACGATTTTTAAACAACAATTTGTATAATTGTCAACTAGTATTTCCTTCCAGTATTCAAAATTTATTTAAACATTCATAAAGTGAAATATATTGCTTAAAGATATTTTTGCATAGGTGCCGTAGTGTGCGTAATTGTTTGTATTTCGTCATGACTCGTTTAAATTTAACATTGTAAATTTACTGTTTCGCGTTACCGCATTTCTTCATTGTTTCGGAGGAAGGGCATGAAGTATGGTCATGAATGAGATTGGGGTCCTGATTTCGTCCAGTGCGCCTGAGCCCCATTCAGAAACTCCTCTCGCGGCAGGGCACCAATGCCCATTGACGTCCCCTCTCGTCGACCTTGGCCGCGCCGCGAAGGACCGCTATTGGTTAAAAATTGCATGCCGCGGATCCCGTTTGGGGCCAATGAGAGTCCTCGGTTCGCAACTCGCGTTGCTAGTGTCACATACCCACGACATTCGCTTCTGC